TCAGAATGATAACAAACAAGGTTAGTTACAGCAGCTAAGAGGCTCATCAACCTTGGACTCAAGGGGCAATCCTTAAATAAAGTTTACATTTAAGTCATATTGGGATAGGATGTAAACACTGTTAAATTAGCACATGAAATGCAGCTAAAACTACTTTCAAAAAACTATGCTTAAACCCTTAAAGAATAAACACATTTGAGTAGTTTGTTCTTTATTCATTGTTAGGTACTTTCTTAGCTTCTTATGTAATGTAGATTGATGTGTTAATTAACTTCTTAGCTTCTTATGTAATGTAGATTGATGTACATTACCTAAGAAGCTAAGAAGTTAATTAACACATGTTGGTGAATCATAATAAATTAATCATTCATTTAATGCTGCTAATCAGGTTCCATGTCAAATTAATTTAAATCATTATATCATTAGTAATTATAATGATATACTGCTGGGAAGTTGTGAAAATTGGGATATAAGAATCACCATTTTCAGGATCATACTTTGGACATTATAATCTTGAAACCAGTGTAAACCGGTAAAGAGTGAACAACAGAACAGTAGCTAGTTAGGGTTAGTCACCTGATATGTTAGGTACCGGATATGAGCAATTACTCTTTTTCACTTGATGCTAAAATATAAAATGTAAATGTCATCATCTACGACTTTTCTATTTCTCTGAAGACACTGCACATGCTGGTAGTCACAGGGACTTTGGAAGATTGAATAACCTCTATCAGTTATACCAGGAAAACTGTCACATGTTTTCATATAAAAGACCATCATCTACTCAAACAGTGCTACATGCATAAGAAGGCAATGTTGTTATGTAAAGTAATGACTCTGTAATCAGTTACTCTGAAGAATAATTTAAAAGGGCTGACATATTAACAACGGAGAGAAATCAACCTTTAGATACTCTTAACGTTTGTCCAGACTGGATCAGTATTATGGGAAAAGCTTGCATTATAATTAAATTCATAATGATGTCAATGAACTACCCAAAAGGGATATATGTATTACTTGATCATAATGGGGGAAGGGTATTCTTAGCTTTCCTGTCTGACTGTAGAACATCTTCACTGCACATTGCCTGTACTTTCTGAATCACATGCCATGAAAGTGTCTGACAGATGATGTGTGCGCATGCCAAACAAATATTTAGTAATTTGCTTGGTAATTATATCTCCCACGCTAGTGTTTACTCTTCAATAATAAAAACTAAATGTTGACCAGAACCCTATCTCATAAAACAAAAACAGACCTGCTATTACTGTTGACTGAACATGAACACATGTGGGATGCTAATGCAGGGCCTTGACTCTTGTTTTGTTTTTTTAATTGGGATTGGTTATTTACTTTTTGTTACACCTATTTTGACACAAATTGCCTTGTGTTCATCTATTTAAAGTTAGTTCACAGGCTCTGTCGGGGCAAAGATGAGGCTTTTTGAAGCTTAAATGCAAGAACCAGAAGTGAAAACCTAGGCTATAAAGGAAATACATCAAGGTCAAATGGCTGTGCATCACCTCCACTAAGCTAATGGCGGACGTACTGTCAGCCAAGACCTCATTTTCAGAAATCAAAACACAAAAGTGAGAAAAAAGTCGGTAAAATGCTGGATTCAAAACTCCTTCCTGCTCTATTGAGGTATTGTCAGAGGAAAAATGTGTATCTTTATTTCATATTTTCCCTGGAAATATTGAATATCCCTTTGATGCTTAGGTTTGAATGATTTTTACTGTTAATGCTGTTTAGAGCGGAAATATCTTTCTGATATCAAACACAATAGCACCTGTACTTAAAACATCACCATGACCTTACATTGCCTTCATTTAGAGACTGTTTATGAGTGTGTTTGCAAATACATATTTCCCCTTTTCATCTCACATTATCCTGGTGTTCCCAGCTCACAGGGAGGCTTGATGACATCTGCATAAATAGAGCAGCTCCTGAGCATCATTTCCTGTGCTGGAATCCTCTGAGGATACACTTCAGGTTATATAAATAGCAGTGAGCAGCGTGCATTCAAATCAGCTCATTTGTTTTAGGTTACAAACAACGTATTTCCATGGCAGGGGGCAGCCTGTAGTTGAGCACATGATCTTATCGAGGGTAACTATGCGTTACCACTCCCACAACCTTATAAAACCAAATAACAGATGTAGACCATAACTTCCCATTATTAAAAACAGGTCATCTGCTTTGCCTTGTTTTGGGAATGTGTGGGAGAATGATTTGCATGTTTCCAATGCGCATTTTGAATATGGCCTTCAGCGGTGTTCTGTTGATTTATGTGCACATTTGTTTGGGATATCGGAGGATCAATATTATGATATAGACATTTAAATAAATGCAAAATAAGAGTAAAAATGTATGGGTCATTCCTATTACATTCTGGGAAATGCACACTAAAATGTAAATATCACATTTTTTATGCATTCATTTATTTAGCAGCTGCCGCCCTGTTTCAATCTTTCACACAGGGCGTGGGTGTTATGTCAGATTACACATTGAATCTATAAATAGAACAAGCGTGTAAATGTCCTTCCTAATGTTTATAAAAGGACCACAAAGTGACAATAGGAGTATCAGTGGGACAGGGAGAGAGGGACAGAGTGAAAGAGAGAATATACACATGACCATCTCTGTCCTTACCGTGGTCTCGTCCTCGTGCAGCACCTGGTCGTATCCGCTGAGCGCCACGCAGAAAATAATAGCGGTGACGTCCTCAAAACAGTGGATCCACTTCTTCCTCTCCGACCTCTGACCTCCCACATCAAACAGCCTGATTGGGGAGACAGACGTGAATAAATACACATGTACACCCTAACCATGACCGCTGGAGGAATACTGTGGAGCTGAAACTGTCAAGCAACAAAAGAAGCACACTCAAGAAAAAGTTCATGACCAGTATCTGAACCCTGATGAATCTTTTCCATCAAGCAATTCATGTTTTTCCACAAGCCTGGAATGACCTCTCATGTATAAGCTGTATTTTTGTGGTTTTTAGAGAACTCTAGAGAAGCCACTAACAGGGGGGAGGGAGTCTAAAGTGAAGTGAAGCCATTTCCACATGTGATGGGTATAATGGTTGGTAGGTTGAAGGGTTACACCCAGTACAGGAACACTGCTGTCTCCCACACACTCCCTGACTGCCAGTAATAACAATTGAGCTGGAAATATTTGGGCTTCTCACCAAAAACACACCCAGCACACGGCCTACTCAACAGCGAGAGTAACAGCGTCACGGGAGGTGTGTGGCGCAGTGGGTTGTGCGTATGTGTTTGGATCAGGGGGTCACAGGTTCAAACCCCTCTGCAGTCAGCATGTCGTTGTGTCCCTGGACAAGACACTTCACCCCAAATGGCTCCTGTGGGGATTGCCCACAGTATTGAGTATGTAAGTCGCTTTGGATAAAAGCGTCTAACATGTAACATGTAATGTAATGTAATGTCATCCAGGAGAAACAATATTTCCCTGCTTGTCTAAATTGAGTGTGCGCAACTTGAACACACAGTGTGCATGATAAAGGTTGGGACAGAAACAGTGGAAGTCAGATGTTACATCCATCCTGAAACATAATTGGTGTCTACAGTTTATTAACCTTCTCCCCTTTGTAAGTCTGTCGATACTTTTCTGTGTGTGTGTGTGTGTATGCACAGGAGCACGAGAGGGGCAGACATATGGTAGTTAAATTAGAGGTTAGAAAAAGCCTCGCCATTCTTTTCTCTCTTTTTCTTCTCCCCCCATCATCACAACACACCCCTCCACTCGGTCACCATTCCCACAGCTCTGTGCTCTAATTGAATCAGATCTCATTAAAATGAGACATAAATATAGGCACTTGTTTAAAGCATTTCCTCTTATTAATTACACACTGGAGTTCCTACTGTAGTCTGGATGAGAAAGTAAAGTCAGTACTGATGACAGTAAGATAAATGCCCTGGGTTAAAACTGACCTGAAGTGGAGGTTTTTGAAGGTAAAGTGTGTCTCGACGATGCCTGTGGTCTTCACTCGGGTCCTCAGGATATCCTGCTCTGTGGGCTGGTAGTCTGGTGCACCAATCCGATCTAGGCTGTCTAGGTAGCTGCACACACAAAGACAGACATGATTGTTAATTGGCAGAAATTCACTTCTTGTTTAGTTACCCTAACAAGACGCGATAGGCCTGTCAAACTTTGGATTGCTCCAAATGCGGAAGGGGTGAACATGAGGCTCCGGTGAGAGAGATATTCAGCAATTAAAGAGTTTGGAGGACTGTGTCATTTTAGCATTTTCTTGAAGTACATCATTAACTAACAGTAAGCCACCAGCTGTTTGATTTGATTTTGGAAAGTTGACACTCCAGAAACCCCAACCAATGCCAAACAAGATAGGGTTTTTGTCTGGTAATATTACAAGACATCTTTTTTTAAATAGCTTGTTGGCTTGGTCTTCTGTAGTTGCTGCTTGCAAGCATGCTAACAATTATTCGTGAACCACTCATCCACTCAAACAACTTCACACTTGACACAACACTTCCGTGGGTATTGTCAATCGGATGAGCGGTTGTTGAGAAAAATGAATATTAAATATGTCCCTTGTCGCTCTATCTGCTCTTGAATGTACTGTAGCATGCAGTAGTACCATTGTAGCAAGCGACCAAGAGAGAAGTGTTCCCAGCATGTCATTTGTTGTAACAGTTAATAACGGCACCTTCCAAATACACTGCACAGTTTGAACATAACGCACTACTAATGAGTATGTCCCGTAAATCTCCAGAGCTTGCACTCAAAACTGCACTTCCTTCAATCCTCAGCAATTAAGGGCGTTTTGCTAATCACACTGACAAGAGTAGAAGTGTTTGCACCTAAAATGGATGCATTTGTTTGTGATCCACCTTGTGTTACAGTCAAATGTTGCGGCTCAGATGGTTGGTGCCTCTACTGTGATATGTTTACATGCTTCAATGTTCAAAAAGGTCTGTATTTTTCTCATACTGCCTGTGCTGCAGCACCTCTTT